TCTGGAGGGTAGTTCCACTATATACTTTTTATTAAAATTCTATTGTGGACGCATGATATCATAGATCATGCGTAAGACGCCCAGGGGCTTAATCCTATACAAACTAGCCCTAGCCTCCTGATCTAAATAAAGGTCAAGGGGTGTTAGGCACATAAGTGCATCAAGAGCTACTCCAGGCGATGATAGCATCGCTCCAGTTGCCATTAAGTAGGCAGTCCTTTGTAGACTATTTAGTCTGTCCGCAGTCGTGTTTTGGTCGGCCTTATTACACCAGCCAATGAAGGCGTAGGTGATAATCGCTCATTATGCTGCTGTAAAGCTTATAGGATAATACTGGGACGCAAACCCCAGTTTTTCCCAAGTCATACTGGGACGCAAACTCCAGTTTTTCCCAAGTCATACTGGGACGCAAACCCCAGTTTTTCCCAAGTCATACTGGGACGCAAACCCCAGTTTTTGCCAAGTCATACTGGGACACAAACCCCAGTTGTTCCCAACTATACGACTGCACGTACCTAAAACAATTTTAGTCGTATGATATACGTTGCTAAGGTGAGAGTTCCATGTTGGTTTTTGGTCGATTGTTACGCCCAAATACTTAACTTTTTCGATAATTAAAAGAATCACGCGTTATTTTGGACTTTTGCATTATATTAAAGTTGTTAGAACTTAATTTGCTCATTTCCGCGTAATAAAATACAATGATGTGATGCCCAGTCTGAAGACCACCCACCTCCCACCCTCCCTCAGTTATTGCACTATCCCCTTTACCACCACTACCAGCACAACCACTCTCAGCGCCATCCCTCCCAACAACACCACACTAGGAACGACACACCACCCTTGATAATACGACATGTGTTTCTTCTCTACACGAGGCATCCTCAGATGAAGTAGACTCTACAGAGGCTGACACTATCTTCAACACTAATCACATCACTACCACTCCTAGCACTCTCTCCGCTCTCCACACACTGCTATTTATATAAATCGTAGATCAGCGTGTTGTATAGACAGCAACTGTTTCGGCTCGCCGCTCATTTAGCCTTCAGCCACCGCAGCTTTACCTGTAGATGCCTCGTGTAGAGGTGAAACAAGTATTGTATTATCGATAGTGATGTGTCGTTACTAGTGAGGTGGTGTTGGGTGTGGTGTTACTGGAAGTGGTGGCTACGAAAACAGTGCATGCCATTTAAGGGGGGTTTGGAAGTGCTCTTCAGACTGGGTAGGACACATCATTTTATTTTGTTACGTGAATATGAGCAAATTAAGTTCTAATAACTTAACCATATGGATTGAAAAATGCGCGAGAATATTGAGTTAAATTCTGGTTGGAACAACTTTAATTTTCCTGCCATGTTCGCACCATTATTGTACCTTTGACCAGAAACATCCATCATGTCTAAGTCAAACACTTATACAATTGCATCAAGAAAGAGGCCAGTAAGTCTTTATTCCGAAAAGTCACTTACTGACTTGCAAGAAACAAAATACTCGTGCTTTGACTTCCTAATTAGCGTTAACAGTACGGAATGTTAGTGATAAGACATTCCTCCTTTCATTTGTCAAGATTAATACTAAGCCCCATCGACGGTATACTTTCCTAAATACTTTCGCTTTGCAAGTTTATAAAAATAATACGTCCTATTACAATCCTCTTGTAAGAATGTGTCGCCTACATAATGACTTATTGATTAATAATAGTAAAAATATAGACATTTTTAATAACAAATTAAACAATTTCAAAAAATCCGTATGAGATATATTTTGTAAATAAGGCATTCAAGGCTTAAAATTTAAATTTAAATGTATAGGTAAATGAACATTATTTTAATAAAGATTTAATTTTTCAAAATTTTCCACAACATAAGTTCATAAGTATAGTATGTTTATAAGTAAAGTTATAATTATTTGTGCTGTAAAATCGTTACTGTTACTTAATATCATGTTTTGGAATACCATCCAGATTGTAACTTTGTATTTATTATTTTCAATTATTCATGTTTTGGTGTTATTCTGTTTTGTGTACCTAAATAAATAAGAGTGAGTCAATTGGTGAACAGTGCCCGGTGGTAGCGTTTCGGTTGATTTCGACATTCCCCCCCCCCAATGACGGCACCGCTCGCACCGCCCCAGGGCCGCCACTGCCCCCGTGCCCCAAAATACCGGCGGTTCTATACCTGATCTCTATCCAGTCGTAGGGGATTGCAGTCCCCTTGAAATATGAGGAAATAGAGAGTGAACCTGTGTACGTTATGTACATTCGTGCACTAATAATCCTGTCCTGCGCAGATTGTTAATGTCTATTGGGACTGGCCGCCATAAGCGAAACTCGGTCTAGAGGATATTTTACATTTTGGTAGATGTGGTACCTTTCTTCAAAAATACAATACTATTTATTTATTATTTAGCAACGAAATGTTCACAAGCAATACACATAAAAAAGTAATATATTCATAAACAATAAAGTCAAGAGTTTATCAGAAACATCATAAAATCATAATCGGTGTGCGCTGCGTGCACAAATAAAATGGTCACAATTTTTTTATTGCACATATTATTCGTCCTTCTCTCCAGTTTAATAAAGTAAGTCGGGATTTATCACAAGTATATTATCAGTTATTCATGATAGAATAAAACTATTTAATTTACTTACCACTGTTTGCTTACCACTGGAAATGGCCTTCATAAAAGTTACAGCCTATATACGTACTGCTGCTGGGCACAGGCCTCCCCTCATTTTTGAGAAGGCTTCAGGGCAAGGAAGTGTCCGCCGCGCTGCCCCAATGCGTGTTGGCGAATTTCACATGTCTTCGTAATATTTTTTTCTTATTCCTCAGACATGCAGGTTTCCTCATGATGTTTTCCTTCACCGCCGAGCGCGTGGTAAATCAGCACTCAAAATTGCAATTAAACAATTAAATTGGTGCCGGTGGGGATCGAATTCGAACCCGTGTTACTCGGTTATATTTACAGCGAGCGTTAATCATCTGAGCTACCACGGCTCAACCTTGCTTATAAATATACCAAGGCCTTCATACTTGCTTATAAATTTAAAAATGGTGTTTTATTTACAAGTGTGTACTATTTCAGCATATGCAACGTAACCAGACAAAACGGAAAGCTTCCGCGTTATGTAGTGGAAGACAACTTCAAAAAGTATGATACTATTGAATTATTACAGTAGCTACTCGTAATACGTGCTAGAGCTTTGCGGCAACTATGTAGTTGTAGCACAAATGGGGTGGCTCGACCGAAGAAAGACCGCGCTTTCACAAAATACCAGAGTAAAATAGCAGGGAAATGTTGCTGTCTTCGTATCATTCGTCTAGTGTACAGTGCCAGCAAGCGCGGGGCCCGTAGCAAATTATATCGGGGGACCCTTGATCCATAGGTATATATATCTATAGGTTTTAAAGTATAAAGTGGTAAAAAATAATTCAGTTACAATTTTGTTGGTGTTTAATAGTACAGTAGTTTACTACAAGCCCTGTTAGACTCTGGCAAGTACAAAAAGCCAGACATGAGATTGTCCTGGTAGTTTAGAATTATTTTGATAGGAAACTAACATTTTAAAACTGATGATACTAACAAATAGTTGTAAATGTTTTTTAGTACAAATTTTATATTTATAACAAACTACATTACATTTTCAGGAATAACTAGTTACATTTTATCAATGGAAATCTTAAATTATGGTTATGTTTTACATTTATTTATCTGTTTCTTTTATTACTTTTTAAATGTCTACGAAGAATTTTTTCTAGATTTCATGTGAGAAAATTTAGAAATACTACTACTATACGTATTAATTTCTCTAAGCAATAACAATCAGCGAAATAATTTTAGACATTCTTGACTCATAGTGTTCCCTAAATTGTTTTTTTTATACGGTTCCATGTCGAAAATGAACGTTCACCACTGCAGTCATTGATCATGAGAAACAAACTCACCATACGAAACACCCGTACGGAGACCCGTTTTACTGGGATCGAGGCATTGCACCTTAGTCCTCAGGGGTGCAACGCATCTGCATTTTGATTCTTAATCGAATGTAGATGTCTATAGGCCACAGCATCCACTTACCTTCAGGTGGACTGTGTATTTGCTTGTCACTCTTATCCTATTAAAAAAAATAAGTTAGTGTGTTGTTTTTACTTTTATTCCTTTTTTATTATCAGACAAATAATATTTGCTATAAATAAATATTAGGGTAAAACCACCAGTAACTGGCCACTTAAGCACTTTCACTAAGTCAGACTTTAATTATGTCAAAATAAGTTATTATATTAGATTTATTGCAATGCCACTAAATAATATGCACATTATTTTATATAATTCGGGGTTTTAAAAGTAAAACAAAACAATATTTTGTATCAAATTTTAATAAAATTAAAAAAACTTCACTCACTCTTGGTATCACTTTTGGTAGTTACTAGCCACTAATTTTAGAAACTGGCCGTCATTAAACTATTATTTGGCCACATGAAATAAGCCTCTGTTTCATCCTACTATATACAAAGGAATATAAAAAAATAAACTTTAAACAACACAACATTCATTATGTTAGACAATAAATCAAAATTTTAACACCAGTAATATGAATATGAGATCAAAAATAATACGACATAGGAACTTTCTTAATTCATACGAACAACAAATCAACAAGTCTAAGATTAATATACTTTTATAGCATAAAGTTTGAACCGAAGCCTTGTTTTCGTGCTTCTTCACAAGCAGAGCTAAACATGGCATCACAATCTCCGTCAGATGAGTCAGTATTACTCTCTCGATAGCACATGCGGCACAAAAACTGATCCTCATCTTCCACAGGTACATGGAGTCTGTGATATGACGGAATACAATTTAAATGAAACCGTTTTTTACACTGGTTACCTTCAATAACCCTACGTGTAATGAGATTCGAACAAAAATCACAAAAAACTTTTTGTTCATAAACCTTATATGTATTTTCAGTATTTTCTTTGCATGTATCTTCTTCAATTATCTTTGTTTTGCTTTTCCATCACTTTTTTCTTGATTTTCTTCTTAGGTATACTGTTCTCTTTTCCCTTCTTTTTTTCTTCTCTTAGTCTCTTTCTTTCCTCTTTTGTAGCTTCTTCTTCAATCTTTTTTAACTGTTTTGCTTTTATTCTTTCCACGTATTGGTCTGAAGTTAAAGCAAATGGCAGTCTTTCTATTTGGCGCTTTCCTTGTCGTTTAGGTGATAATGGTGAGTTTTGTTTCAAGAGTTAGAGATACATTAGAAATTATGGAAACCGTCGAATATGTGACTTGTTTTGACGTGCTAGGCTGCGGAGTGGGACTACGTTCTATTAAATTATTCTGAAGTGTCGGTTCACTATAAACTTCTTTCTTTTCATCTTCTCTTTCTTCGGTTTTATTTATTAACTCACCTGTAAATTCATCAAGAATCTTCCTAGGGGTTTCGTCATCTTCTATAATATCAGTCACATGATTGTCTTCTACGATTTTGGTCGGTTGGTCGAAAGGGCCACGGTCCACGTCATTATTAATTCTATAATTATTATTGTTTTCCGATGCAGCCTCAAATCTTTGCCATACATTGTAAATTGCAAAAAAGTTATCATCTGACTCTAAAATGGACGAGACTGTTCGACATTTTTCAAGAATTGATTCACCCACAATTTTACAAAACTCTGAATAGGTTACAAGATGAACATGTGAAAGAGAAGTATAAATGTAGACTGAGAGGAAATATTAGATGTTTGAATGAGTTGTGTATGAATGATTTAGACCTGAATACAGTGTGGGATAATATTAAGAAAGGTTTGGTGGATGCCGCCACTGAAGTATGTGGTGTAAGTAAGAGAAGAAATGAAAGGAAAAGTAATACGTTGTGGTGGGATGATGAAGTACGGGTGGAAGTTGAATCAAAGAAGAAAGCATGGTTAGATTTACTAGCAACCAAAGCTGGTAATTCTTCTGGTATGAATGATGAGATTGAAAGAAAAAAGGCAGAATTTAGACGTCTAAATAAAAAAGTAAAAGAAGTTGTTGAAAGGAAAAAGAAAGAAAGAACGGATAAGAATGATAGAAGGATATCTGATAATTTCCAGGCTAACATAAAAATGTTCTGGAAACTCGTAGGAACTGCCAGGGGAAATACAAAACAGCCTATAATGAATGCTATAAGAGACGAGAATGGATGTATTCTGAATGATGAAGCTTCGAATTTAAACAGATGGAAGGAATACTTTGAAAGCGTGTTTATGAGTGAAGAGTCGTCTGAATTAAATGAACTAGAAATTCCGAAAGAAGTGGAAAGGGGTATGGAGATAAGTGTAGATGAAATAATGAAAGCAATGAAAAGCATGAAAGCAGGTAAGGCAGCTGGATATGATAGAGTATCACTCGAGATGCTAAGGGCTGGAGAAGGAGTGGTGGCAGGCCTGCTGTACACCTTGTTTAATTTATGTTGGGAATTAAAACGGGTACCGGATGAGTGGTGTAAAGCAGTTATAGTACCAATATATAAAGGAAAAAGGTCACAGCAGGACTGCAAAAACTACCGTGGTATCAGCTTGCTTAGTATTGTGGGTAAACTGTATGCTAAGGTGTTAATTGAAAGAGTTATGAAAGAAACTGATGGAAAAATTTGGGATGTGCAAGCGGGTTTTAGAAAGGGAATGGGGTGTACAGATCAAGTCTTTTCCATGCGCTCATGGAAAAGTTTTTGTGCGTTCATGGACTTGGAAAAGGTTTATGACAGAGTGGACAGGAATGTGTTATGGCAAACACTGAACTCATATGGGTTGAGCGCTGGTTTGATACAGGCATTAAGGCCTCTTTATAGGAACTCTAGTGCTTGTGTCAGGATCAATGGGGTCTACTCGGACTGGTTTTGCATCCAAAAAGGTGTCAGACAGGGCTGTGTAGCTTCCCCTTGGCTGTTCAACGTATTTATGGACAGGTGTTTGCAAACTTTGAAAGATGAAGAATGTGGGTTAAGAATGGGCGAGTTAACCGTCAAATGCCTTTTGTATGTCGATGATCAAGTCATATTTGCGTCATCGGAGGCTGAGTTGCAAATGATGGTTACATTAATGAACTGGGAATTAAAAGAAAGGGGAATGAAAGTGAACGCAAGTAAGACGAAAGTGACGGTTTTTGAAAGAGAGGAAAGCAAAACGGTATGTGAAATAAGAATAGAAGGAGAGTTAATTGAGCAAGTGGATGAGTTTGTGTATTTGGGATGTGTATTTAGCAGGGATAGTAGATATGATAAGGATGTAGAACGACGAGTAAATGCAGGGAATAGAGTGAATGGGGCACTAAACTCTATTATGAAGAACCAGAATGTGTCAAAAAAGGCACGTATGGTAATTCATAATGCTGTGTTAGTCCCTACTTTAATGTATGGTAGGAAAGCTGGGTGCAAGAAGCACGAAAGTAGAATAAATGCTGTAGAAACGAGGTCTTTAAGGAGTATGCTAGGGTGAATCTGTAGACAGGGTGAGAAATTGCGTGATAAGAGATAAATGTGTATGCAAGATGATGTGTGACCAGGATAAGAAAGGAATGCTTCGGTATGTCTTAGAAAGAATTAATGAGGAAAGAGTGACAAACCAAATTATATGGCAGATGTGAACGGCCGAGTCGGGAAGGGACGCCCTAGAAAAAAGTTTTGGCGATATTTTGAAAAGGGGCCACGTTAGAAGTACCCTTAACCGACGAGCATGTATGCCTCCTTTACATCCATATATCTATATGGATGTAAAGGAGGCGAAAGAGGTATGTCAGGATCGTGCCAAATGGAAGTCCGTAGTCTCCGCCTACCCCTCTGGGTGACAGGCGTGAGTGTTTATGTTATGTTATGAATAGGTTAACACATTCATATTATGCTCAACATTTTTTCTGACGTGGATGTATCATCGGGTTGGTTTACCCTTGCTATGCACTTGCTAAAATCGACATTATTTGGTTCAAATGGACATAAACCGGATACTCTGAATCCATTTATTAATGTCTCTTTCTTAGAACACGAGTCTACAACTGTTAGTAGTTACGTTGTACCAGTTCTGGCGCACTTGTAGAAAGGTTGTACCAGTTCTGGCGCACGACATTCGTCGACTCACAATCCTAAAAAAAAAAAAAAAAAAAAAAAAAAAAAAAAAAAGGTTTTGGCATGCTCTGATCACGAATCTGCGGTCCATTTTTGCGTAGGATGCACGGTTCCGGAGATGTGCAGATCAATTAACTCTTATCTAATTGATATCCGCTGCGAGCCTCAACCGTCATTAGCGCTCCATTGTCCTTATCTACTTATCTATTGTTGATTGACTACCGTCATTATCTATTATTCGTCCAGCGTGTGGGTCGGCTTATGCTATTGTATTATACTCCTTTGTTCCTATCTACAACACTAATCTGAATCATCAATAAAACACATTACCTAATTTTGTTAAAATTTTTATTTATGAAATACAAAATCTTATTACTTATTATCTATAAAATAGGAGCGAAACATCTCATCCACTAAAATATCGTTGTACAACGTGTTCTCTGTAAATATACTCGTAAAACTATGCATTGAACATCCCTGAAACTTATATAGCAAATACATTAAGCAATATTCGCCACAAACTGAAGTCCACTCATTCTGAATCCTATCAACATTCCAGTTCCATCTTTTACAATTTCTTTTAAAAAACTCTAGATGATATCGTACAGGTGCCCGTCCGAATGAATCAAAATATTGACCGACGTCATTCGTATCGATATATAAAGCTACCCAATGTGACCCTGGTTTATCATCTGTATCCAAATTGCATATTATATACGTTGGTACGTGGGTGTACATGGGTAGTTTATTGGCAGCATAAACATTATTTTCTAGAGTGGGGTGAATCTTTTTCAGATGTTGTTGTACATCTAGTGTATCCATAATATTACTGCTATTAGTAGATTATTACAGTACCAATCTGCTCAATGACTAATATAGGAATGATCAATTATAGTGATATCTAAATATTAAATTGCTTTCTTTGTGTTATACAAAACGTATTTGAGTCACCAATACACTGAACAAGATATGACAGGAAGGACGTAGGAATGTAGAGATAAGCAACAGAATGTAAGGTTAGCTTGTTGACGCATAAAGATACTATCAATTCTACTGCAGAAATTCTTTAGATTAGAATTATTACTCACTGGTACTATATAAGACCAAGCAACTGCAGTCATGGAGTTAGTGTATGGTCGTTTGACCGCAGTGGATCTATCAATACTACGTTTGTGTTACTTCAACGCATCAAAGGCCATGGATGTAAGTGTTTATTCTATTGACAAACTTACTTTTCTTTCTGTTATTTTCTTACGTGTGTATGATTTAGTGTTAACAAATTATATTTAAATATTATGTGTGTGTATATGGTTAAGCCGTGGTAGCTCAGATGGTTAGCGCAAAATGTAAACTTCATAGTACACGTCCCGGGTTCGATCCCCGCCGGCACCAATTAAATTGTTAATTACAATTTTAAGTGCTGATTTACCACGTGCTCAGCGGTGAAGGAAAATATCGTGAGGAATGCATGTCTGAGAAAATTTCGAAGGCATGTGAAGTTTGCCAACACGCATTGAGGTATCGCAGCGAACATTTCCTAGCCCTAAAACCCTCTCAGAAATGAGAGGAGGCCTATGTTCAGCAGTGGACTTTAATAGGTTGTAACTTTAGCTTTTTTAACTTTTATGATTAAGTGTTAACAAATTGATATTAACATGATAACTGTGTTGTTGCAGAAATCATTGAGCTTCGATGAAAATACCTATAAACAGTATTACTACTCGCCACTCTCCCCTCAAGAAGAGAGTGATGACATCGTCATTAATAATAACACATGCGATGGTGGAAAAAGAAAATCGCAATCGATTGATCATTTTTTTGAAGCTGAATCAAAAATAAAAAAGAGGAAGCTGTTATCATCAACCGTAGCACGAGCCGCTAGAGATGGTGTTATATCATACATTTCTACTAATTCTGACGACGGAGACCAAGCGACGCATCTCATCAAAATTGAAATGTACGATATGAAGAAGCTATCCAAGATTCCAACTACTGATCATTGGAAACATGCTTCCACGAGGATTAAATATTACGTAAAGACTAATAAGGATAGCATCTACGACAACACAAACGCCCTCGTATACAATATTACAAAGACAATAGCAGAAAGTGAAAAAGTTAAAAAATACTTTTTTAACAATG